TGAAGCCTGCCTCATCGCCATATTTATAAGTATACTAGGCGATCGAGAGGAGCGAGGCTCTATGAAGCCTGCCTCATCGCCATATATCTATCTATCTATATGTATACTAGGCAATTGAGAGGAGCAAGGCTCTAAGAAGCCTGCCTCGCCGCCATGATAACTTGTACTCTCCACGCCAGATACCAACAAAGTTGAGTGAATCCTGACCAATCCACTGCCAGATGTCTGCTTCCATATAGCTAATTCAACCCATTACTAACTCGCTGATTCCAGTGAGAAAGGATAAGTGTGATCTTGACTTAGAGAGACTTATCACCCTTTTAAAACTCCGATTCGATCCTTGTCATGCGATTCCTCTCTGAATCGCATGAATGATATTGCTTGGGATTATTAGGGACATGGGGCTCGTAATTAACTTTTAAGAGGGAAGAAACATAGTAGAACCATTGGGACAAACAAGCTGGGAATGAATTTTGTTTATTACTTAGACCAATCAGGCGAGCGAATTGATAGTGAGGGCAGAAGTTAGGCAGTAGGTCAACCGGTGAGCACCAAAAACTGGGTCACAAGGGTAGAAGAGATCTTCTAGATCCCAACGTCGAAGAAAAGACGTTAAGATTCTTTCGGACTGTGCTGTGTCTACAGGGTTCAGCGCTCTTGGAGAGGACTACGGAAGAAATCCGTAAGGGAATTATAAATTATGTTATCATTGGATAACAGGTCGGTATAACTCTGACTCAACTTCCACATGGCTTGATACCCGCACCTAAAACAAGACCTAAGAAGGGAACAAATAAATCTTCCTCCTGTATCTACACCTAAATTTGTCCAAATCACACTCAGAGGTCTTTGAAAATGTGAAGGGTTGGGGTAAAAGGAGTCATGTTTAGGAAGGAATATTGTCTTTCAAGGTTTTGGGAAATGAGTGGCTTGCTATGAATGGATTAAAGGTTGACGCTTGTAGCGCATTTTGTGTCTGCATCTGTATGCGTGTATGTGATGTCTTGCATCTGCACAGGTGTTGGACGTTTGTGATGTCTTCTGAATTTGGGATCATTTCGGATATTCGGACGACGGGGCACAACAATTGTGAAAGTGAGGTCCACCGCTAATACAGCTCCCTTGATTAACAAACATACTTATATATATATATGTATATCTGTGACTAAGATAGTAATTGGTCTGAGCTTGGAGAACTATTGTCTAGAAGCCTGTTTGAGATATTGAGAAAATAAGAGATTACTAAAGGGTTTCCACCTTGACTCTCTTAAATGGTAAATAAAGTAAACATAGGATTATTGTCATAGTTGCTAAGCGTGGAAGACAGTCCGAACAAGTCGACCTGATTAGATAGTCGATCCGAGGAGTCAACACCTCGGAGTACGACAAACGGGTTAGTCTTAAGGCGTTCTACTGCGCGTATGCCTATGCTACGGCGATCGAGAAAAACGCCCTCGGTTGGCCTACCTCTGCGATTGCATGTAAAAGTCTTCGCACGTGGGTCAGTAGCTCAGCAGGGATACGCCCACCTAAGGGATGGTGACAGCTCCCGCAGATGGAGGTATGTTGTACCTCGCGGGACCCTAACCTGTCGTAGGGAGTCGCGAGAGGTATAGCACGCGCGCACGGTCGGAGTTGGTATTGCGTAAAGTGACAAAGAAACTCCTGCGTGACACGACCGTGAGGTCCAACACAAAAACTACTTTGCGTCTGGGTGTGGGACCGCCGCGCGCGACACCGCAGTAAGAAAGTTTTGCACGAATCCTGCATGACACGGTCGTGAGGATCCTCCTTGGGGAACGATGCAAGTAGAATAATAATAATAATAATGATATATAGACGAAGAAGAAGAAACCGAAGAAGAAGAAGAAGAAGAAGAAGAAGAAGAAGAAGAAGAAGAAGAAGAAGAAGAAGAAAAAGATTGATTGACTGATCGATTGGTGCCGGCTCGGGAATCAATCAATCAATCAATCAATCAATCAATCAGTCAATCAATCAATCAATCAA